AGAGATCACCTGTGATCATCGGCAGGGGAGTCTGCGCGTTTCTTTATCCTCACTGTGTGCCTAGTGCGGAGCTATGCTATTCATTAAAAGCCTGTGGATGGATCGAATGGACCAGATTCCCTGGCTTTGGCACTCTCTGGAAGCTGCCCCATCTTCTGGGCAATGAGAAACGGGAGCTGGGGAGAGGGCGGGCTAACACCAGCATCTTCCACCAGAGGGCAGCACAGTACCGGTTATCTTGGTGCATGTGTATTCTTGGAGGGTGAAATGGGTCCATATGATAAAAACAATAGTAATTAGCATTTATATAATGTAAGGCTGTAAAGGGCTTCTAATGCAACACCTCCATACCTGAGCAAGAAATGCAAAGGCATTCCCCAATAAGCGTTGTTATCCAGCTTCCATAGACTCCAGAGATGGGCAACTCTTCCTTGACCACCATCTCACCTTTATCAATCTGCTTATAATTACTTTTCTTTAATGCAGAACAGAAACGTCTCTGTGTGTAAATATATTTCTACATATATAGTAAGCACTTGAATGCATTTTGACTGACATGGATGTTCCTATGCTTACACACGAAGGGTGGCGATGGGGTGACAGAACCAGTCTGAGTCAGGAAGTCCTGTTTTCAAGTCCTGCCTCTGACATATCCCATGGTGACCTTGAGGGAGTCACCACCTTCCAGAGCCCCAGGCAGCTCTCCAAGACTTTAAACTGCAGACCAGACACCAATCTATGCCGATGAATCAAGATCCAGTCAAAATAAAATCTGTATATAGGAATGTGTGCGCACACTTGGGCAAAATCTCTCTGGAAATGAGCTTTATAAACAACTTTGGGACCTCTTCACACCCCCCTTGTGCCTTGCAGACCTCTGACTTAGCCTTTGAATGCTTTTCCTATTGCTTTGGGCAAATGACCTAGCATTTCCAAATCTGTTTCTACAAATCTGTGCCTACAGTAACTACCTCCAAAGATCATTCTCAAGTTCAGAGTCATGCTTGTATAAGGACTGAGCCCAAAATCACCCACCACAATTTAGCCTTGATGCCTTAACTAGGTTAAAAACCCATCTCAATCAACTTCGATCACAAGCTTTTTTAGACTAAGTATGACAAGTCTTTCAGAGCTATTGGATGAAGTGAAATGATGGAAGACAAGAAAATCTGTTGCATCTGGGTGAGGGATTTTGTTGGGGCCTAGGGTCCTATATAAAAGCATCGAGTTAGCTGGAATCGGGGAGTCCCAACCAGCGACAAGTCCAGGAGGAGAGCACGTCAACCAAAGGGGTGAGGGCAGCTACAGCCGACGCCTCAACAAGCCGCTCAGCCCAAGGCCTGGCTGCTGCCACTGGGGTGCCCAACTCCTCGAGGGTGGAGGGAAGTTCTGAGAAAACCTACCCACCTCAGCTACTAGACTACAACCTGCTCCTTCACTGCCCAAACGTCTCCAGTAAACTCAGTTCTGTCTCAACCACAAAGAGGCCTGGATTATACAGAGAAACGTAACTGCAAAGAAACTCAGAATCCAACCTCTGCCTAAATGCTAGGAATTTTCCTAACAGCTTGGCATGATTGCCACTGAACTCATACATTTTTTTTTTTTGCCTAAAATAAACTCCCTAAAGCTGAAGAGGCACAATCTTGTGGACCCGAGCAGTCATCATATAGGGTGTCCCAGAAGTCTTAACACAGTCTTAAAACTATTAAGGCTTAAGACTGTGCTGTCTTTTGGGACACCCTGTATAGTCCTCACACTCTGTTGTTCAGTCTTGTCCTACTCTTCATGGCCCCATTTGGGGTTTTCTTGGCAAAGACACTGGAGTGGTTTGCCATTTCCTTCTCCAGCTCATTTTACAGATGAGGAAACTGAGGCAAACAGGATTAAGTGACTTGCCCAGGGTCACACAGCTGCTAAGTGTCTGAGGACTCATTTGAACTCAGGTCTTACTGACTCCAAGTCAGGTTCTCTACCTACTACACCATCTAGCTGCTCCACAGCCCCTAAACTTAACATGAGGTAACTACTATTGTAGCAGTATTAAGTACATAAAGTACTTTGTAAACTGTGAGAAGCTCCAAACTTGTGCGCTCTCAGCATGTCCCCTCACCTACTCTCAGAAGTGTGGCCTCATTCCCCCTGAGGGAAACTCAGGGCTTGTCACAAACACAAGCAAGTATAGCATCTGAAACCCCCACTTTTTTAGGTGTTGCAGGGCCCTCCCTCCCTGCCCGGGTTTATCTACTTGGAGGAGAAAAGATTTCCATAAATGGAGTGCCCCAAACCTCTACTGGCCAGCTTACCCTGCACACTCTCTCTTCACCCTAGCCCCTGCCACCCTCAGGGTTCCTGCTCTGCGGATGCCCCTCACGCCAGCTGCTTCCTCGGTCCTCTCACCTCTTGGCTCTCCCTCTTGCTAAGAGACAAAAGATCTGGGAGGCAGGGGAGTGATGCTTTTTGGCTAATTCTGCTGCTTGTTTTCAGAGAGGACAGTGTAAGGGGAAACTGCAAGTGTGGAAACTGCTAAAAGGATGTGGAAGTAAGAAGGAGGGGAGCAGAGAAGAAGGGGATCATTCTCATTTCCCCACAGGAATGTAAACAACTGGAGGGCAGAGACCACTCTATTTTGTGTCCCTCTCCAAGGGCCCTAGCACTTAGCATAGTGCCTGGCACACAGGGAACAGAACAGGAACAGAGCTGTCATTTCACTGGCAAAGGCCCACCCAGGTGGGGAAGCTCCGTCAATGCACACCAACACCTTCTCAGTGACTGTATTAGAGGAGAGGTTCTCAACCCTTCCTGCACTCTGCATCCTTCTGGACCAGTCTTGTGAAGCCTGTGAACCCCTTCTTAAAATAATGGTTTTAAATGCAGAAAACAAAATACAAAGCATTGCAAAGAAAATCAGTTACATTAAAATAAACATGTAATTTCTCCCCCATCCAAGTTCCTGGACCCTCGGATCCCAGGGTAAGAACCTTTGTTCTTGGAGAGTTCACAGGGGCTTTGTAAACAAAGTAGTACAGAAAAGTCTGAGTCAGGGCTAGAGCTGGGAAATCACCTCATGCTTGCAGCAATCCCAAGCTTGCTCCCTGCTGCAAAAGGCAAGCTTCTTCACGCAGGCTAGATGGTATGACTCATAGAATGCCACAATTTAAAGATGGGGTCTCAGTATGAGGGAAAGTGCATTGGACTTGAGATCAGGAAAAACGCAGGTTCAAATCCTGAGCCCCAGGCCAGCAATGTCACTGTAGACAAGGCACTTCACTTCTTCAGCAGGACTAATCCATACCTGCAGCACCTGCTCCATCAGGCATCAAATGTCAAGAGTAGCTCAGGCAACTCCGATCCCACACAAGGCTCGACAAAGGGAAGGAGTGCCACCAGCAGGGGAGTGCTGCCCACCTGCCTTCCCCCTTTGAGTCTGACCCCCAAGGACAGCCACCCAGAGCTCACCCAGGCTGCTTGACTGCTCACAGGTATGGGATGAGACGGACCTCTGTTCCTCCCAGGGAAATGGAGGACCACCAAACCTTAGCATCTGACCCTCCACTGTGTTCAACATCAGGCCCACAGCTCTCCAAGTCAATATGTGGCCTGAAAGAGTCCCTGCATACGATGTGGCGGCCTCATCTCTATTTGAGTTTGACACCAGTGGTCTGGTCCTTCCTTCTTTCTACGTCTAGCCCCACCATGGAACCTCCTAACAGAGCCTAAGGACTTCTGGGCTTTTCTCACCCGCCCCAAAGCTGAGTTCTTTTTGGTGCTGTTTCCCGAAATGAGAGGGTGAACTTCACTGTCTGTTGGCATGCCCAGCACTTGGTACATATAGCGCCTAAAAATGGTTTTCCATTCATTCACTTACTTGGCATAGGTTTTGTATTTACTTCCTGTGTCCCACCTTCCCACCCTAAAAGGACATAAACTCCTCAAAAGCAGAGGCTGATTCTCTTTTTGTTGACTCGTCCCAAGACCTGGCTTAATGCCTAGCACTTGAAGACCCTTAATCCTGTGTGCTGATTGAGCAATCCAGTGTGCTCATGTATGTAGAATGCTTTGTCAACCCTTAAGAAGCAGGTCAAGGCTTGCAATAGGGGATCAGAGAAAAAGAAACACAAACAAACAATCCAGAATGTGTGATTCAGATTAATCAAACAGGCCTGTTATTTGTGTATAAAACTCTACAGTTACAAAAGTCACATAAAAATGAAGTCACCAAAACAGCAGCCCACCAATGGGGGCTCAAGGCACTGGACACGAGACAGCCTAGAAAATGGACTGAATCACAAAGTTATGGTACAAATGATCAGCTGGGGGACATTCATCTCTCCACTAGACTCTGGTTAGGACCAGGCAGGCAGGCACACACATCAACACACTCATCCATACCCCCCTCCTACTCGCTTATAAATCAATACAAAAATAGCCACAGTTTAACTTCAATGTCACAGGACCAGTTCAGGGCCAAGCTAAGCTTGCTTATTCCCACACACACAGCATCTCAGGCTTAACTAAGAACTCTTTTTTTTCTTTTTTCTTTTCTTTTTTTTTGGCCCCTGAGCTTCCCAGATGGGATGAAGAAAGAGGGCATGAGGCCTCATCGAGTGGGCCCAGAACAGCAGTTGAATCAATACCCACATGGACTGTAGGGTGACAGAGACAGAAACTGGGGGGTTCAAGACTGCCCCACCCCAGGGCCATGGCTGGGGGTGGGGGCTCCCAGGGCTCTGAGACCCCCAGATCTGCCCCTATGGTTTAGTCCGTCAGCATCAGGCAAGAGACACAGGGTGAGTCAAGAGGACAGGGGCTCTGGCCAGACAGCCTCCTACTCTCTGCCTCTTGTCCCTGGGGGAGGGGGAGGGTTGAATTAGGCAAAGGGCTTCTCAAATCCCTTCAAGTCCCAGAGAAGCCTGGGAAAGAGGAGCATGGGCTGGTGAGTGCCCCTGGACTCCGCCCCTCCCACACTCCCATCTGGACAGGGCCCAGTTGGGTTGAGGGAGCTGGAGGCAAGGGCTGGCATCATCTGTGGAAGGAGGGACGGCCCAGCTTCCCTGCCCCTCCCCCTCCTCCCGGGTGGTCTGGTGGAAGCGCCCGTCACGGGCCCTGAGGATGCTCCCCAGGATAGCACATGCAGCAGCCTCCTCCTGAAAACTCCAAGTCTGACTTCTCCCTGCCGAGGAGGCCATCGGTGACCGAGTACTCAGATATGATGTCTTCCACCCTCGTGATGTAGAGAAGAGTGAGGAGCACGCCCAGGAACTGCGCAAGAAAAGGGAGAGGGGAGGCAAAGCAGGGAGAAGGCTCCTCCCCCCTCCCCCCAACAGCCCCCCAAGCTTCCGTTACCCCTATGGGAAAGGATGCTACTGGCTTTGAAGTCAGAGGCTCTGGGTTCAAATCCTGCTTCTGCAACTTACTAACAGCACGGCCTTAAGTAAATCCTTTCACCTCTCTGAGCCTCAGTTTCCTCATCTGTAAGATGGGGGGTATAAGAAGAGCACCAGGCCAATGGGAGGCTCAAAGGAGCAGCCTGTGTAAGATCTGCAAACCTGAACACACGATGTAAATGCGAGCTATTCTTACCGTTCATCAGTCATATTAATGAGAGGTGGTGCGGTACAGAAGCCAGGAAGATGGGGGTTCGAATCCTACTCTACAAACACTGGCTGCAGATGCCGGCCAAGTTCAGCCTCTCGGGATCTGGGCTACTCCCTAACCCTCCGAGCTTCTGAGAAGGTGCCAACCTGCCCAGGCAGAGGCAGCCCCCTCAGCAGAGCTCCCCGTCCATGAAGTCGCAGGTCCACTCCTAGCCCTTTCATCATTGTTGTCATTGGGAGTAATACGAATAGCGGCACACACTGATGTGGCAGATGAGGAAGCTGAGGGGGACAGTGCTTACACGACTTGCTCAGCTAGTCAGTGTCCAGGGCAGGCTTTGACCCCACTCCCTCTCCTTTCCCCACCTCCCACTGTCCTCTGAGCCCGCCCCCACTTTGGGGGGGGCATCCCTGCCTCGGCCTCCCTCCGGGAGGGCTCACCTGGGGCAGCAGGATGCCCAGCAGGACGGCAGCCATGATGGTGTAGTTGTCCACGAACCAGATGATCACGGCGTTGGTGCAGCCGCGGACGTAGATGACGTCCACGACGCTCAGGCGCTGCCAAGGAACGAGGGCCGTGGGGGCGGTGCTGGGACACCTGCCTCGGCCCCTCGAAGGGCACTGGCTCACAAAGGCCTTACAGGCCTCTCAGGCCAATTTGGTCCTTCTAAGCCTCTTCCTCCCTTTCTGCAAACCCCAGAAAAGGGAAGCGACCCAGCCCAACATCCCACAGACAGATGGCGGGGCAAACGGGATTCGAATCTGGGTCCTCTGTCCCGTTCTCTTGGGTTCCTTCTGACTCCACCAAGGGAGAGGAACAAGAGGGTCACTAAAGCACTCCCTCCACCCCACTCCCCTGCCAGCTGAGTCTGTTCTGACGCTCCCTGCTCTAAAGCCCCTCCCAGCTCTAATATTCCCTGTTCTAAGGCCCCTCCCAGCTCTGACATTCTGGATTCTAGGGCTGTTCTAGTTTTGACATTCTAAGTGGCACAGTGAGCTAAGAGTCAGGAAGACCTGAGTTAGAATCCTACCGTAGACACTTATTAGCTGTGTGACTCTGGGCAAGTCACTTTAAGCTCTCTGAGCTTTAATATCTTCATCTATAAAACGTGGACAGTGATATTACCTCCCTCACAGGGTTGCTGTGAGGGTCAGACGCAATTACACATGGAAAAAGCTCTGCTCTCAACAGAACTGCCAGTGAGAGGTATCTTAGGGCCCTTCTAGTGTGTCCTGTCTTAGGATTCTCCCGGGCGCCCAGCAAGGCAGAGGATGTTAGAGGTTGGAAATGCCTTCTTCGGGGCAGCTAGGTGGCGCAGTGGATAGAGCACCACTCTTGGATTCAGGAGGACCTGAGCTCAAATCCAGCCTCAGATACTTGACACTAACTGTGTGACCTTAGGCAAGTCACTTAACCCTGATTGCCTCACAAAAAAAAAAAGGAAATGCCTTCTTCCCTCCCTCTCTTCCTTCATCACTTCCTTCTGTTTCTGTCTCTCTGTCTCTCTCAGACAGATACTTCATTTGGGTGTGGGCTGTGACTCTGAGGAAGTCACTGGCCCTCTCTGAGCCAGTTTCCTTACCTGTAAAAATGCACGGGAAACACCTGTGACCACAATGAGGAAGCCCCTGGGCTGGACCTGAAACCCAGATCTCCTGACTCTCAGACCCTAGTTCTTACTACCACAGCCCATGGACGACACATGCTAGTTTCAAAGCTCTCTCAGAACAGGGGCGCTCCCAGAGCCCTGAGACCAGCCTGCATGGCTGGGGATGCTCATCTCAGCACCGGGGGGAGAGAGGGAAGCACAAGGTTCTGATGACCTGAAAGGACTCACCTCCTGGTCGATGGTTTTGTAGCCACACATGGTGTTGATGACATCAGACTGAAACAGAAAGGTACGGTCAGAGCCAACAAGGAGACAGTCCATGGCTATTCTCTCAAGCACCTCTTGGTACAGAAGCTCCTAACCTGAGGTCCAAAGAATATTTTGACAACTGCATTCAACAGAATTACTTTCCTTTGTAATCTTATTTTTAAATTTTATGCACTTAAAAACATGGTTCTGAGAAGGGTTCTAAGAGACATCATCAGACTGCTGAACGGCCCCAGGACACAAAAGGTTCAACCCCCCTGACTTAGTGTCTCTTGTCTTTGGGGTATATTTTTTAAAATATTTTCCCCTAATTACACATAATAATAAATTTTAACATTTGTTGTTAAGTTTTGAGTTCCAAATTCTATCCCTCCTTCCCTTCCCTCTCTGTGACAGTAAGCAATCTGATACAAGTTATACATGTGTAATCATGTAAAGTGTTTCCATATTAGTCAGGGGGAGAGGGGCAAACAAAACAAAGAAAGTGAGAGAGAGAGGAAGGAAGGAAGGAAGGAAGGAAGGAAGGAAGGAAGGAAGGAAGGAAGGAAGGAAGGAAGGAAGGAAGGAAGGAAGGAAGGAAGGAAGGAAGGAAGGAAGGAAGGAAGGAAGGAAGGAAGGAAGGGAGGGAGGGAGGGAGGGAGGGAGGGAGGGAGGGAGGAGGGAGGAAGGAAGGGAAAAGGGAGAGAGGGAGGGAAGAAAGGAAGGAAGGATGAAAGGAAGGAGGGAAGGAGAGAGGGAGGGAAGGAAGAAAGGAAGGAGGGAGGTGGGAGAGAGGGAGGGAAAGAAGGAAAGAAAGAAGGAAGGAAGGAGTGAAAAGTAATGTGCTTGGATCTGCATTCAGACTCCATCAGCTCTTTCTCTGCAGATGGACAGCATTTTTCATCATGAGTCCTTTGAGAATGTCTCGGATCATTGTACTGCTGAAAAGCTAAGTCATTCACAGTTGTTCATCATACAATGTTGCTGTTACTGTGCGCAATATTCTCCTGGTTCTGCTCACTTCACTCAGCATCAATTCATGTAAGTCTTTCCAGGTTTTTCTGAAATCATCCTGCTCATCATTTCTTTTAGCACAATAGTATTCCATCACAATCATATACCACCACTTGTTCAGCCACGCCCCAATTGATGGGTATCCCCTCAATTTCCAAGTCTAAGCCATTACAAAAAAGAATCGCTATAAATATTTTTGTACAAATAGTTTCTTTTCCTTTTTATTTAATCTCTTTGAGATACAGACCTAGCAGTGATACGTATTGCTGGATCAAAGAGTATGCACAGTTTCATAGCCCTTTGGGCATAGTTCCAAATTGTTCTCCAGAATGGTTGGATCAGTTCACAACTCCACCAACACTGCATTGGTGTTCCAATTTTCCCACATCTTCTTCAACATTTATCATCTTCCCGTTTTGTCACATTAGCCAATCTGATAGGTGTGAGAGGTGGTACCTTAGAGTTGTTTTAATTTGCGTCTCTCTAATCGATAGTGATTTAGAGCATTTTTACATGACTATAGACAGCTATAGATTTCTTTGCCTGAAAACTGCCTGTTCACATCCTTTTTCACACCCAGTTTATCAGCTGGGAAATGACTTGCAGTCTCATTAGTTTGACTCGGTTCTCTATATATTTGAGAAATGAGGCCTTTACCAGAGACACCGGCTGTAAATCTTCTTCCCCCAGTCTTCTGCTTCCCTTCTAATTTTGGTTGCACTGGTTTTGTTTGTCATAAAACTTTTTAATTTTATATAATCAAAATGATCCATTTTACACTTCATAATGCTGCCTCTATATCTTGTTTGGCCTAAATTCTCCCCTCATCCATAGACATGACAAGCAAACTATTCTCCGAAATCAGGCACCCATTTTGGCCTTACCCTGGTATACACTGTAAGATGCTGCACTATATGTAGCTTCTGCCACGCCAGTTGAGTTTTCCCGGCTTTCCATAAAATGATGAGTTGTTGTCCCAAAAGCTTGCATATTTGGGTTCATCAAACACTAGATTACCGCGGCCACTTACCTCAATGTAGCGTGTACCAGATCTGTCCCACTGATCCACCGCTTTACTTCTCGTCCAACACGAGACTGCTTTGATGATTACTGCTAGGCCACTTTCCTTCGCATTTTTTTTCATTGATTCTCTTGATATTCTTGACCTTTTGCTCTTCCAGATGAATTTTATTATTATTTTTTCTAGCTCTATAAAATAATTCTTTGGTAGTTTGGTATGACACTAAGTAGATTAATTTAGGTAGAACTGACATTTTTATTATATTGACTCAACCTACCCAAGAGGAATTACTATCTTTTCAAATATTTAGACCTAACTTTATTTGTCTGAGAAATGTTTTGTAATTGTGTTCATATAGTTCCTGGGTTTGTCTTGGCAGGCAGACTGCCAAGTATTTTCTACCGTCTAATCATTTTAAATGGAATTTCTTTTTCCATCTCTTGCTGTTGGGCTGTCTTTGGGTTTTAAGATGTCTAGATTGAGGGGGCAGCTAGGTGGCACAGTGGATAAAGCACTGGCCCTGAGGTTAGGAGGACCCAAGTTCAAATCCGGCCTCAGACCAAACACTTGACACTGACTAGCTGTGTGACCCTGGGCAAGTCACTTAACCCCAACTGCCTAAAAATAAAAAAATTAAAAATTAAAAAAAAAAAGATGTCTGGATTGATTCATGAACCTCTGCTCTCCATAGGGTTCAGAGTCAGTCAGGAAGTCAGTCAATAAACACGTATTAAGTGCCTACCATCTGCCAGCCATTATGCTAAGCAGACAGCACCTGCCCTCCGGGAGCTCACAATTTAACGGGGGATAAAGGAGGCTGAGCACCCTCTCTCACTCTCTCATTCACAAACATAAAAAAGAACAAAAAAGAAAACAAGACTGAACGTGGATAAAAGCAGCCTGGTATCATGAGTGGGCAGAGCGACAAAGCCCTGGGTTCAAATCCTATCTCTGCCATTAGCTGTGACCTTGAATCAATTGATTAACCTTCTCTACATTCTTCAGGCAACTCTCAAGCCCTCCTTGGGGCTAATCTACTAAATTATAGACCTTCACAAGCTGAGAGGGATTTCCCACTCCCTGGGCAGACAAAACCACAGGTCTGGGTATATTTGCATATTTGAAACCAGAGACTTCCATTACTCAGAGTTTTTTGGTTTTCTTGCAGCCCATATTAACCCCCACGAGGCAGTAAGCAAAGTGCCGACTTCTTTCCTCCTGACTCTTTTCTCTGCGTTGATCCGACTGGCACTGCTGCCATTTCCTTATTACTTCCAAAGTCAGAGTCAGTGTGATCAGGTTTACTCAATCTCTGCTCTCTTCTCTCTGTCATGTCCTATTAACGATTCTCCTGGGGTTTTTTTTGTCATCTTCATGTTTATTGTGTGTGTGTGTGTGTGTGTGTGTGTGTGTGTCTGTGTGTCTGTGTGTGTATGCTCGCATGTACCTGTGATTTTTGTCAATGCTGGGATTTCCCAGTGAGGAAAGTGCCTCGGAGAATTCGGGTCAGCCCCTACTGAGAGATTAAGACATGTAAGAGCTTGGGACTTGGGGTCAGAGGGCCTAGGTTCAAATCACTCCCTGGGTGATGTTGGCTAAGTCACGTAACCACTGTTGGGCCTCAGCTTCCATGTCAGTAAATAGAACGGGGGGGACCCTTTTCCAGGCCTCAGGCCTCTGTCCATTCCAAAGCTATGCTGGGTGGCCGAGTCTTCTTCGAATACCCCTCACCTTTGGAAGGCAGGTCCCCATGCTCCACACTCCCTTGGTCCTCTGGAGATGCCTGCCCTGCCGGGGCTGAGAGCCTCTACTCTGCACCCGTCTCCCTCTGCATGCCCAGCTCCTTCCCTTCTCAAATTCCTTCATACTTTCAGGCTGACTCGTCCAAGACTCCCTCTGTCAGCACAGCTCGGGCCGCACTGAGTAAACCCCAGGGGATGGACCTGGCCTCCAAATCCCATAGGCTCCTGTCGTCACCAGCATGTGACTGGGGCAAAAAGGAGCGAGCTCCCTGGCCCCAAAGGGAAACCAAGCCCTGCCACAAACTTCAGAGACAGCCGTGCTCTTGGTATCCTGCGTGGAAACTGGAATGCCTCCGCCCATGGAAATCACATGATAAAAAGTCCAGCATTGATTCAGCAGCACCTCAGTTATCTGGCCACCTCGCCTCTTCAGGACAAAGGAGCTGCCTGAAAGCTGTCACAAAGTTCTTGCATTTCACACAGAAGACAGCTCTTGGGACCTTTTACTTTAACCAAACTGACTCTTTGGCTTCTACATCTACCCAGCCGCTGCATACTCCTGGCCATGTGTGCAGGAGGGGAGGATCTAAGTGTCTGGCGACTGTGAAGACCTCTGCCTCCCTCCCTGCTGGGCACGTCCTGCCCTGTTCCTTCCCCAAACACAGAAGTAACCAGAGGCTCACAGATTCAGAGCTTGAAGGGACTGAGTCCAATTCCCTCATTTTACAGATGGAGGAACTGAGGCCCAGTCCAGGGCCACACAGCTACTGTGCACTTGGACAGGACATTCCTGTTGTCCACAGGCTGCTGTTTCCAGCTGGCTGAGGCTCCAGAGCAGCCGTATAATGGGCTGAGTAAGTGGGGGGAGGGGTGGGGCCAGGGGCACCTTCACATTTGCTGAAAGGCTGCACAGAAGAGCAATCTGGCCACAAACCCTACTGACTTCCCAAGCCAGGATCAGGGGGCACAGAAGGAGCCAGGGCTTTAGAGATCTTCTAGAAGGGGAAGGGCATAACAGAAGGGAGAGGGGAGAGACAGAAGAGAAGGCGACTAGGGGAAGGGGTATTCAGAATGCATGCCATCGTGGGGTGGGGGGAGGGGTGAGAAATTTGGAACTCAAAAACTTGTGGAAGTGAATGTTGAAAACTAGAAATAAATACATTTATATTTTAAAAAATGAAAAAAAAATAGAGATCTTCTAGAAGAGCTGCTTCACAGTCCAGGTGAAGAGACATACTCAGGGAAGGAAGGGATTGTCCCAGGCACACAGGCAGTTAGGTGGGAGATTCAAACCCTGGGCTCTTTCCACTATCCCACAGAGATTCCCCCTCCACTGATCCCCTTGGGAAAACAAAGGCAGTAAATGAGATGTCCTGGCTCGCTTATCCCGAGACCCTTCCTCGGAGCCCAGACCCTCCCGGCTAGGGCGGTAGAAGAACTGGAAACTGAGGAGCGGGTCTTCTGGTCAGCTGCTGGGGTGCCTGGGACAATGGGAGAGACAGGAAACCTCCCTCCCTACTCCACCAAGACTGCCATCCCTTATTCCCCAAACACGTCCTGTAGATCTCTGCTTCTCTTCCCCCAAATTAAGAACTCAACGTCTGGGGGTCTCGGATCCTTTAGCAATCAGTTTGGTGAAGCCTATGAGTCATGTTCCCAAACACATAAAATATTGAATTACTGTTATCAAGATATATTTTAAAAGCAAGTTCACAGACCTCAAGTCAAGGATTCCTGCCCTAAGTGAAATAACAAAAACAACTCATTCACTGAGCCACGTGATCCTCACAACAAGCCTGGGAGGGAGGGAGGGGAAAACAGATGGGGGAAACTGAGGCTCTGAGAAATGCAGTGACTTGCCCAGGACTACCCAGTGATGGGGCCAGAACTCAAACTGAGAGCTCTCAACTCCAAGGGCAGTTAGCACTCTCCATTCACCATTCCACAGTGGTTGGGGCAGCTAGGTGGCGCAGTACATAGAGCACTGGCCCTGGAGTCAGGAGGACCTGAATTCAAATCCTGCCTCAGACACATAACACTTACTAGCTGTGTGACTCTGGGCAAGTCACTTAACCCCAACTGCCTCACCAAGGGGAAAAAAAAAAACCCTAACGCACAGTGGTCCCCAGAAGTCCATCTTCTTGTCCTCCTTTCTGAATCCTTAAATCATTCTTCAAGGCCCAGGAAATTTATTTTAAAAAATTCTCCAGACAGAAAACTGATGAACTCTGAGTCCAGACTCAAGCAGACTTTTTTCACTTTCTTCATGTTTCTTGCTCTGTGTGTGTGTGTTTACAACATGGCTAATACAGAATTGTGTTTACATGACTTCACATGTATAATCAATATGTTGCTTGCTTTTTCAATGGGTGGGAGAGTGAGACTTTAGAACTCAATTTTTTTTAAAATGTTAAAAAATCTTTTAAAATGTAATTGGGAAATATTTAATGAAACAAATAAATATATCATTTTAAAAAATCAATCTCATGAATCAAGATTTATCTGCCACAACTCAAAGTTTGGGCCTAATTAGGTAAAACTATGCTTGTCATTACATATGTCCGGAGAGGAGTCATAGCATCAGAATGGGGAGATATATTTTTTTAGACACAGAGATCTCCGAAGAGTCATAAAAAGTACCACCCATGAGGATGAAAGGCCTGCTTAGGCTAAGAGAAAAAACAGAGGGTCTTGTTAATGTCTACTATCAACAGGAATCCTTTCTTCTATTTTAACTGCGGTATCTGTTTATGACAACCCTTGCTTCTTGTCAAAAATAGAATTTCCTAAGTACACGTGAATTACATGCACTTTTTTACTCACTGGAGGGCTCCATTTCTAACAGTGGTCATGAACGTGACAGCTGCCATCTGCACATGGCGTCACACTTGCCCTGACAAATGATGCTTATTCCCTGAGCCACAACCAGGACTCTTGTTCTCACCAGCAGAGTGTTCTAAGCTGCTCAGGGCCAACGGGCTGGTCCCCACACAGGGTCCAGCTGACTAGATGCTCCCTTGATTTGAAATGAACATGACGATTACTTTTTGTGGCAAATGGTGATTTGTGAAATACTTTGTTGGAGGCTGAGGCAGATGGGATGGGCCTCTAACCCGGAGTCAAAATAAAGCGGACCCAGACCCAGACTTTGGAATCTCCACATAACAAGGTGTTAAACTAAGATTCTAAAAAACAAGGTGATCTATCCAGTCACGATGCTCTCCCTACTGCACCATACCATGGAACACTGTCAATCGTTTCCTTTCTTGATCACATCCTAGTTCCACTTGCCCTGCTGCTGCTAAATGCAGTGTGGGGTTTGGGGCAGTGGTGTCCACATTTCTGACCACACGCCTATCAAGTAAAGAAAAGTAAGCATGCACATATATGTATGGAAGGATGGGGCTAGACCTGGGAATTAACTGAGACAGGGAATTTCCTTCCTCTTCTTCGGACCACACCACCACAAAAATTAACCTCTACCTCCTCGCCCCCAAGCAAAGGCGGGGTGACCTGCCCTTTTTTTAAACTACATCTCCATCAGTCTCCATCAGAAAGCAGCAGACAGCCCACAGAGCCAGGCAGCAAACAGGTGGGAACATGGTTCAAGGCACCTCTGGGCTTGGGACAGAAATTTTCCATCACTGGTAAGAGAGCTCTCTGCTTCTAGATAGGAACCGTGTGGGATGCGAGCTCATTCATCAAACTCTGCGCTGATGGAGGAAGCATCTGCCTGGGCACAATACTGGCGGCCCTCCTCAGCAGGAGGAACAGACCAGAAGGAGCTGGTGCTCCGGGGAGGGGCACTGCCTCTCTCTGGCCGTCAGAGAAGGAGTCTGCACTCCTAGTGAGTCCCTTCCAGCTCCCAATCTCACGATTCCCTCCATCCTGGTGGGTGTCCAAACGAGGCTTTTGTGGGCTGAATGTCTGCTGGGTTTCAATTCCCAGGCTTGAACCTGGGACCAAAGCTGAGAGAAGGTCTGGTGATGAGTGAGATCAAGAGCTGGACCTTGAGCAAGGAAGACCCGGGTTAGAATCCTGCCCCTGATGCATCCTAACTGCTTGACACAGCCTCCCTCAGGCCTCAGTGTTTCATTTGTACTATGGGGATGATAGTCCAGGATCAACAAGGAATTCGTAAAATGCTCAGCACAGCAGGCACTCGACAAATGCTGGTTTTCTTTTCGTGGTGGCCAAGAATGGGAAATTTCAGGGACGTCTGTCTACTGGGGAACGGCTGACCAAGTTGTGGTCATTTGGTTGGAGGCGGCAAAAATCTGGGTTCAAATCATGGCTCTGACACTTCTTAACCGTATGTATGTCCACGGGCAAGTCCCTAAACCTCCCTCAGTCTCAGCGCCCCCTCTGTAAGAGGAGGAGAACCCTCAGTCCCTGCCCTGTCCCGGGGTGCAGACCACGAGTCCAGAACTGTTTTCGTCTCCCGGGCTCCTGGCTACGGGGGGAAGCCTGTGGCCCACCGGGTCTGCTGCTGACACTGACGAGTGCGATGCCAAGTCTCACTTAGAGGTCAATGAGGATCACGCTTTCTCACGTTCGCAGACCCCCCCGAGGGGCCCACAGACCCCTGAGAACCAAGCACCCCCGATCTGAGCACGTCGGCGGCCCTCGCGTTCCCGTGAACAGCGGCCGCTGCTAGAATGAGACGTGACGGCTGGGCGGCTCTTACCGTATTTCTGAAGCAGCAGGTGTAAGGCACCCCACACGCCAAGGGTCCGGGCGCGCTGCAGTCATGGTACTGGTTCGTGGCCCAGTCCCTGTAGTCTTCCCCACCGCAGCACTTAAACTAAAAAGAAAGAAGTCAGTGTGTGTGTGTGTGTGTGTGTGTGCGTGTGTGATTGTGGAGGATGCAGAGCAACAAGGAAATGCCCTTCACATGCCCTTGGTCAGGGCAGCACACACCTCAAAGTGCCACCCTGAGCCCCTTCCACCAAAGGAGACTTGCTTGTTTTATAAGTAGCAAAGGATGAAGAAGGCCATTTCTGACTTCGTGGCTTAGCAGCCGGGATTGGAGCTGATACCAGGCACGGGCATTAAGTGGAGCTCAATCTCCTGCCTCAGTTTCCCCATCTGTAAAATGAGAACCCAATCCTGGGGGAACCAGGCAAGAGGGGGCTCTGCACACAGCACAGGAATACACCAGGCAGGAGGTGACAGGGACAGCGTCACATGAGAAGGCAGCAGAAGGCACCAGGGAGGGTAAGCCTTGAGGAGCCGTAGGGGTGACAAGGTGATCCACCCATGACAATCCGCCATGAAGAAGAGGGATGCATTTCAGAACGAGGAGCTCCGAGCTGGAGCCGCAGGATCCATGGAAACGCTGGGGAGTGTGGGAAGCTGCCCAAGAAGGAATGGACTCTCCAATGCCAATGGGCCCCCTGTCCCTCTCTATCACTTGGTAGATGGTGTTGGCTCTCATCGCCTTGAACCCAAGCCCGAGAGAGCTCTGGTCTGCCGATGCTGGCTGGCACCCTCTCTGTGCTGTGCAGCTTTGGGGAGCTGCCTAGAATCACGAGAGGCTGAGTGATCTGTTTAGGGTCCCACGGTTAGTGTGTGTGTCAGAGGTGGACTCGAACCCAGGTCTTCCTGGCTTCTGGGAAGACTGCCCACTATGCCACAATGCCTCTGGGATAATAGTGGCATACACTTATATATTTCTTTGGGGTTTACAAAGTGCACTCCTCACAGCAACTCTGAAATCTGGTAGGTAGTTACTAGGAAAAAAGAAAAATAAATAAAAGTAGTCTTACTCCTTGGAAAACCAACTCCGGGCCAGCCCCAGGGCCTGTTCTAATAGCGATCGAGTCTCTGGGCCAAGGGATCTTGCTTTGAAGAGTGGCCTAATCTTCCAGGCAGGCTCTGCACCTGCTCAAAACCGCAGGAGGAGAGCCGGGGGCCAGGGAGCTCCGGAACAAGGAGAGACAGAGGGGCTCATGTTCAGGTAACACCTGTCGAGTGTGCGTCAGCTCAATTCATAAAGAGCCTCCCTCTCCGTCTTCCTTTCAACAAGAGACGCTCTGCAGCACTCGGCTGAAGGCCACCAGGATGGGTCCATCGCCCAAAGTCCCCAAGCGAAAGCTCGCTCCAAGGAGCTGTTGTCTGGGCTGAAGATGAACGGGTTCTCACCAGGAGGCCAAGAGCATCTGCTTGGCAGCTGGAGCCAAACAGCAAAGGATGGAGAGGCAGAGGGAGAGCAGGGAGGTTGGACACCCTCCACCTGTGGAGGTGCTCGGGGCTCCAGGGATGCATTTCTTTTAAGACCCTGGCTGAGGGCCAAGAAACTACTTTTACCAGGGCTTGGGTCTCCCAAAGGGGAGGGGGAGGCTGGAAAGAGAACCAGAGGTCGAGAAGAGCTTGTGTTTCTTTTGGAAGCTCACACTGGAAAGGGGAGGCCGGCTCCTCCCCCTCCTCAACTTCCTTTCTCTCTCCCTCCTGTCCAAGACCCCCGGAGTGATGAGTATGTGGGCTGGGGGAGGGGGAAAGGAGAGCCCAGGAGGGAAGGTGAGTGGGTCACCAGCCAGATCAATCAAACCTTGACAACACTCTCACAATGCCTGTGGACCTTAAGTGAAGCGAATCAAAGACTGTAGAACCTGTTCCTGCCACAGAACTCTGGTCCTATGCCCCACCAAGTGATGACCCTCAAAGACTTGGAATGACACTGTTCCCACAGGACCCCAGAATACCTGTATTGTGGGGCTGTCGGCCCTGGGAAATGACCGTTTGTAATCCACCCTCCCCCTCCCTTCTCCCTTGTGATTTATGTGTGTGCGCACGTACGCGTGTCTGTACGTATACACATGCTAGTAGTTCATGATCTCTGCCCACAGCAAGGTGGAGTTCTGATCAGCAGAGTTCCCAATCTCCACGTCTGCTCCTCATAATTACATCAATCAACTAAACCGCTCCTTGATTACTGGCACCTTGCATCTGGCCTGCTCTGCCTCACCATTCCCAGGTTAGAAGCTGGCTCAGCAAAATTCTGTTAACAACCTAATGACCGACACCCACAAGCAGGGTGGACCACCCTGGGGAGGATCCTTCTCCTCGGAGGTCTCCAAACACAAAAGGGACGCTTCTGTGATCACGTCTGACCACGTATCTGTCAGACAACAAGCATTTATTAAGCACCTTCTATTTGACAGGCACCGGAGCAGTGCGTGGGCTGCTCTCCCCAGCAAGCCCTTCCACCTATTGAAGGCGGCTTTTCAGACGGTTTCACTGTACCCAGGCTGGGTCAGGCTTAATGAGAACATCTAGGGAGGGCCAGGGCCCCCGTGAGGATAGGGTCTGCCCCTGTGGTCACCAACACCTAGAGGCCACAAGGCCATAACACCTATGGCCAGGAGCCCAAGTCTGAATCCAGGCTCCAACTTTTGCTCGACACATGACCTTGCTCCTCTGAGCCTCAGTTTCCCTCTCTGTATGACAAAGGCACAATCCCCACACTAGCCACCTGATGGGTCTTTTGTGGGGAAAGTACTTTATGACTTTAAAATTTGCTCTGGAGTTATAGTGAACCTTGAGGCACCATACAACTGTCTCTATTATAACTACTGCCGTAATTGCTGATGCCTCCACCCAGCCTGGCCAGTCCACAGCGCCCCAGAATTTGGGGCTGGAAGGGGCCTTAGGCACCATGCAGTCTGACTCTTATCTTTACAGGTGAAGAAAACTGTGACCCAGGAAAGTCCCAAGGTGGCACAGAGAGCCCGCATCAGAGCCAGGATTAGAACCCGGGTCTCCTGAGCACGAATCCCATGCTGTTTCCCCCACACACTGTACCCGCCAGCAGAAAGTGCTGGGTCACAGCCTGAGGACTTGGTGGGAACCCCAGCCGTGCATCTGACCCCCTGTGCAGACCTGGCTGAGTCACCTCGGGCGCCTCGGTTTTCTCATCTGTAAATGGAGATGTCAGACCTGATGCCCTCTGCTGCCTTCTCTGAGTCAGGGGTCCCATGACTGGGGGGAGAGAGAGGACAAGAGACAGCTCCTCCCCCTCCCAGTGAATGTCGGGTGGGAGGCGTCGCGTCTCACCTGCTCCTGGACGAAGTCCATGATGTTCTTGAAGTCCAGGTCGTCGTAGTAGTTCTTGATTCCTCTGCGGATGTTGTCATTCAGAAACTCAATTGTCTGTTCAGAAAGCAGAAATTCAGAAAAGCCTGGGTCCTGCCTCAGCCCGGCCAGACCCAAATCCTCACCCACCCACTGGGCGAACGCCCAGGTCCGCATCGCCCCTCCTCCCTGCACTTTCCAAAGAGCTTCTCCTCCTGGGCCTCATGACGGCCGAGTGATGAAGGAGGGCAGGAACCGCCACCCTCACTTTGTAAATTAGGAAAAAAGCCACTGGAGAAGGGGCTCCGGGCCGACTGAGTGGGACAGGAAGCCAGATTTCCCAGCTAAGCAACACCTGGCCACGCCCCATGGGCCTGTGCCCAAGGGCATACATGTAGAATGCCCTTCACTCACGGCCTGCTGAGATTCTACCCATCCTTCCAAGCCAAGGCCACCTCCTCCATGAAGCCTGCTCTGATTTCCCCACCAGAATCGAGTGCTCATTCTACTGCACCAAAGAGATGCTCCCAACATTTGGGGTGATCCAGGTGGATCGAGTACCACAGATTCCCAACTGAAAGAGTTTTTCCGGATGAGCGTAACAATTCACAACTGCACAGCATTTTAAAATTTACTAGTTATTATGTGTTATTATCCCCATTTTACAGATGAGGAAAGAGAGGCTCAGAAACAGGAGGTGGCTTATTGGATCTGAGGCTTTAGAGCCGGAAGGGCCCTGACAGGTCAGCTCGTCCAATGTTCTCACTTTATAGATCTGGAAACTGGGGCCCATCAAGGTGAAGTGACTTGTCCAAGGTCACCCTGGTAGCTATCCAGGAAGGACTTGAACCCAGGTCTGACGGCTGAAAGAGCCAGCCCTCTCCCCACATCGCTCTGCCTCTCCTGATCTCTTCCTGGTTGGGGGAGGGTGACTCCCCAGAGAAGAATGCCGTCTGGCTCATGTCCCACACTGAGTCACGCCGTGCTGTCTACCCTCACAGCTTGTTTGTTGGGTTAGAGCTCTCTGGGCACACAAAGGGCCTCACAGAAGCCATGGGTGGGCGATACCCCAAAGACGGGCAGGCAACTCTGCCCACCCTAGTACAATGGGAGCTTTCAGGCTGCAGGGGACCATCAGGGACAGCCGAGGCTCGGCACAACAAGGGACCTTCTCATCTCCGTGAAGAAAAGCCAGACAGAAAAGCAGGGGGCAAAGGCCAGTGTGAGCCCCTCCCCCAGAGCGAGGCCAAGCTTGGCCATCCCCTCTAGCCAGCCATGCGGCAGCACCTCCCCCAAGGCACTCTGGGGCCTGGGCTCTACTCGGGCATTCCCCTCCTGGGCAGACAGAGGGGCCACACTGCCTTCCCCTGGGACTGGGACATTCTGTTCTCCATATACGTCATCTCATCTAAGAGAAATGCTCTTTAAGGAGAAGTAGCCTGGAGACACAGCTCAAGAAAGACCTGGATGCAAATCCTGCCTCTTACACACAGTAGGTATATGATTCCAGGCAAGTCCCTTGACCTCTCTCAGTGCCTGGCACACAGTAGGCACTTAATAAAGGCACCTAGAATAGACTGAATTACTGTAGGCAACTCTCTAAGGCAAGGGTTCTTAACCTGGGGTTCACGAACTTGATTTTTTAATATTTTGACAATCATATTTCAATGTAATTCGATGTAGTTTTTAATCCTAGGCATTTTAATTTAAGTGTTTAAGTCCCCTGAAAAGGGTCCATCAGTTCACCAGACAGCCAAAGGGATCTTGGGCACAAACAAGGTGAGGAACCCCTGCTCTAAGATGATAAATTGCATAGAAGGTACCAGCTTGTGCTGGTGAGGGTATTTCCCCCTCTGGGAGGTCCCTGTCCCTACTCTTTATATATTATGCAAACTGAAAGTCACAGTGTCCCTTTAAGCTTTAGCAGACTTTGGGGATGCCCTGCACGTTTGCTGAATTGAAGCAGCCTCCCAGGTCACAGAGGCAGTAAATAGATGCTCCTGGCTTAGCATTCAGGTCCTTGGGGCTTCAAACCCTGGGCTCCTCCCCTGTACCACATGGGAGTCTTCGGCTCTCAATGGTGCAGAGGAAGGAACCCAACAGACCTTCCTCTTGTCCTCTGCCTAACCTTGCTCCACAGTCGAGGGGAGGGAACCATGAACATCACGGGGCCTCTGCTTCTTCAGTAAACACAGCTCCCGGTCAAGTTACTTAAGTGGGCCCTCCCTGGGTAAGGGCCATGCCCAGAAACTCACTCGGGCAATTCCTGAGACAGAAAACTCTTTCACCATCTGTAAGGAGCCAGGGCATCTGCCTGAACTGGTCTCTAAGGCAGGCTAGATGTAGGACAAGGGAAAAATTCACAAACTGCCCAGGGGGGTGAGCTTTGACCACCAAGCACAGGCAAGCCAGCTCTCGACCTTGACCTCAGACCACCCTCCACTGCCCACTCCTCCAATGTCCCAAACCCCTGCACGTGCGACCAGGAAGCACTGAGAACCACTGAGAACCACTCATGAAGCTAAGCAGGCAGGGCAGTGTCCAGGCTCCTGCTCCCTCCCTCCTCAATCCCAAGCAGGCACCAGGGCATCCGGGTATTTCCAATAGCAAACACGTACCTTGAAGCCCAACTAAAGAGCATGATGATGACGGCCCAGACCAGAGTGGGAGGTGGGGTAAACAGAGTCCCCGGAGGGGACTGCTATTCCCCTCAGGTTCCTAGGGTTCACCCATTACATTCTAAGTTCCTTGAGGGTAGGGGCTGTCTTTTGCCTCTTCTTATATGCTTAGTGCCTGGCACATAGAAGGTGCTTAATAAACATTTACTGATTGAATTGAATTAAATTAACCCTGAGAGGCTGGCATTTATTAGCATTGTTGCTCATGAGCCCCCACTGGCATGCTCCCCATTGGTTATCAGCCAGACTTAATTAGCATTTAGAAAAGATATTTACTAAGCATGTAGGGCATGGACAGAAACATCCTGCCCCAAACACTCTCCATTTGCACACACTAGGTCCCTGGAGAGAGAAGGCTCAAGCTCAGAGCATATGCGGCCACAGGTAATTAAACACAGCTACTGATTCCTGGAAGCCCCTTCACGGAGTCCTCACCAAGTCCCCTCAGGTGTAGCTCTCTGCCGCACTCAGAGGTTGGTGCCCTGGAGGAGTACTGAAGCCACATTTCCTTGCTCTGTCTTATGTGTCCTAGGTATGTCTCTCAGCTCCCAAGAAGATGCTGTCCTGGCTGCCCTGGGTAAACTACCAGCTACCAGCTCCAATTTAGCTGCGTTTACCAGATGTTCTGCCTTTTTGAAGTTAGAAAGGATGTCACCTTGTCGATGCTGAAGGATTGAGAGGGGAGAAGAAGAAACTTTCTTCTCTCTCTCCTTCCCTCCCCGTCAGGGGTCCTTCATCACTGGATCTGACCACCATTCAGCTGGCCTACCCTCGGGAGTGTGCTCCTCCAGCCAGGCCCAGAGATGGATTTGGTTCTTTCAGCCAATCACAAGATTATTTCATGTACAGTGCCATCTGCTTTTGTACAGTGACCCCAGGGTCTCTATGAGCCACACTGATTAAAGTGTTTAATGCACCTTGTCTTCTGTGGATTAACTGATTCAAGAGATACGTCACACCAAAAAAAAAAAAAAGGGTGGCAGCTAGGTGGTGCAGTGGAGTCAGGTGGACCTGAGTTCAAATCCAGCCTCAAACACATAACACTCACCAGCTATGTGACTCTGGGCAAGTCACTTAACCCCAATTGCTGAGAGAGAGAGAGAGAGAGAGAGAGAGAGAGAGAAAGAAAGCTACATCTGCAATTCTGTGATTCCATGAATTAGGGGTGGGGCTAGAAGCCTCCCCCCCTGACAAATGGAGGCGATCAGACATGATTGAGCGTAACTAATGTACAGAAACATGACAGTTGGAAGGGCCCTTAGAACACACAGAATGTGGCTCAGCTGCAGGACTCAGAACATGGAGTGTTAGGACTGGAAAAGGCATTAGAACATGGAACACAAATGTCAGAACTTGAACGTCACGGCTGGATGTGACGGGCAGGACAGCTGAGTGAGCAGGGAAGTCAGGAAGAGAAGAGAAGGAACATCAGAGGAAGCAGAAGAGAGCTCTGGACCAGTCTCCCCTCAAGCCAAAGAGCCCGGTTGGAGCCTGGGAAGCTTGGTGACCTCAGCCCCCACACCCACGGCAGCATCTGCAGGAAACAGATCATTAAGCGATGACTTCAGGCTCCGCTGTCACCCGACAGGAGGAGGCCAGACCAGAGAGGAAGAGAAAGACACCCAGGCCTCCCGTGCTAAGGCAGATGGCCCCAGGAGGGAGGGGGGTCCCAGCAAGAACGACTCAAAGGGCAAATGGAGCTGTGGCCTTTCAGGGAAGAGAAAAGGGGAGTCGAGTCCAGGGCCAGACTGTGCCAGAGACTTCCTAGCTATGTGACCCTGGGCAAGTCACTTAATCTCTGTGGGCCTCATTGTCCTTAGGGTGCCTCTAAGGGCTCTTCTGACTGCTCATCTAGGCAGCTAGGTGGTGCCATAGTGCACAGAGTGCTGAGCCTAGCGTCAAGAAGACCCGAGTTCAAATCTGCCCTTAAGCACTTACTAGCTAGCTGTGTGCCCTGGGTAAGTCATTTAACTTCCGTCAGCCTCAACCTCCTAGTGTATAAAATGTGGAAGTCTCTGAGGTCTCTTCTGGCTCTACATCTGTGATCATATTGTTTAATGAACATTCACTAAGACTGTTGAGTGTACAGGTTACCACGCCTGGCCCTGGAGGAGCTAGTTTAGACAAGCTGGTCCCGTCCTCGGGGGGGCACACTGCTCGCCATAAAAATGTATTATAAAAGGCTTTCCTCACAAACGTCCTTGGACGCAGGACAAGCATTAATTGGCTTAATTTGCAAACAGGGAAACCACATGTACAATGTACAGGCACATACAAAATAACCAAGAGGAGACTCGGTGGGGAGGGCACAACCGCTGGAGCACAGACAACCAGTCGGTCAACACCTGCTGTGTGCTCAGCACCGTGCTGAGTGCCAGGGAGACAAAGAAAGGCAGAGAC